GGGGGGGGGGGGGGGTGATGGAGACAGACACATCGAAGCGAGTCACTCATTCAGTCAGGCTCACTGCAGTACAATCAATTTCCCTTCTGCTCATCTCCAGGGGAAAAAGGAGGGGGGGGGTGTAGTGGAGTAAAGAAGAGACTCATTTAGAAAAAAAAATCATCTAAATTGCACAACTATAGAAAACTATGACTATTGTTGCTGCTGCAAGTAGAAAATAAACCTCATGTCCTCCTTTTTAATCCTGGGAGGGGAATGGATGATAGGCAGCCTAGCCAATGATAGCAACGTCTTTTGTACATTCAATAAAGTCCGGTACTGCTACTGAAGAGGCTAATTGCTGGTGTTGATAATCACACCGACTGACATTTTGTACAATTAAGGGATACTCTCCGCCTCGCTCACAACTTGTCATGTGGAAAGATATTTGAAATGTGTTGCCAAAGACGTTGTACAATACATTGACTCTGCACTGAGGAATGTTCATTTCGAGAAATGGCATCAGAAGCGCTCTTACCAGTAGGTGCCTCCGTTAAGAACCGCGTATTTGAAACAATAAAAAGCTGCTTGAAAACAGCGAGTCTCTGGAACACCTCGTGTCCGTTACTTCACTTTGTCCCAGCTCGCACGCCTCATTTCATTCCCTGTATTCTGCAGGCACAGGATTTGATAACAAAAAGGGGGACTGGTGATGATACATTCTCCTATATACAGTGTTGTCCATCCAAAGGGAATGTTTGGCCCCTCTCCTCCGCAGATATACATATAAAAAATAAAAAAAACACGTGCTTTCAGCTCCTAGTTAACAGTCTCGCTCACTGTGTGCAGGCTGTGCTGCGGGCCCCACACTGTGGTGATGGGGGTCTTTACCACTTGAAGAGAGCTGGGTTGCCTGGTATCAGCGTGGACCATGCTCCAGACGCTGGGCGCCACTGCTGAATTCCTGTGTGCACTACTACTAACACTGCTACTGCTGGTGCTGCTTGTGGAGGAAGCTGAAGGCTGAAGAGGAGGGGAGACGTGGGAGACCAGGCCCAGAAGAGGCGTGCTTGTTGGTGTAGAGGAGGGTGTTGGGGGTGACGCTGGGAGGGGAGCTGGAGCTTGGGCAGACACAAAGACTGGGGTGTGAACAGGGGCTGGAGACGACGCCACGGTTGAAACGGGTGACGGACACGGAACTGTGACCGGGATTATGGGGGATTTGTGGAACGGCAGGTAGAGCGGGACTCCTCTGGGGGGGGTGAAAGAGGTGATGGCTGGAGAAGGAGCAGCTGGAACAAGCGCTACACACTGGGATGGCGCCTGGCTTGGAGCAGTGGAACTTGTGGCCGGGAGGAGGACTGACGATGGCACCGAGACCGGCCTTGTGGCTGGCGCCGATGCACTCGTGGGACACGTAGCGGGCGGCGGAGCAGGGACTGAGCTTGAGGCTGGAGCTGATGATGAAGCTGGGGTGATGGCTGGAGCAGCAGCTGCTTTCTGAGAATTTGGCTGTCCTAAAACTGAGGCAGGAGTTGGTACCAATGTTGGCAGATGGGCTGCGATGAGCGGAGGCTGGTTTGGGCTGGAAGCTCTGGCAGTGTCCTTCTCCACGGGACTCCAGATGATTTTATTCACTGGCAGAGGGGAGAGCCGGGGGGCTGAGACCAAGACTGGGGCTGGGGCTGGTACAGAGGCTGCTAATGAAAGAGGCACTGGAGCCTTCACTGAGGTTACACCTGACACGGAAACAGCCATAGCCTTCTCCATCAGACTCTGCACCCTGGAAGGATCCATGACTTGCTGGCTGTCCTCTGGAGGTGGTGTAGGTCCCATGTCGCTGCTGTAAGCGCCGCACTGTGCCTCCACTAGGTCCGTCTTCACGGCCTCTGTTGCTCTGTTCTGGCTCTCCTGGAGTCTCTTCAGGTTCTCCTGCTCCGCTGCCCTCTGCAGAGCTGCATCAACCAGGAGCCTCAAATCGCTGAAGTCCTGGGTGGGTAACAGCTCGGGTGGGGTCGGCGGAGGCGTGTTGAAGAGGCCGCTGGTGGGGCTTGCTGCTATTGTTGTGCTGGTGAGACAAGCCCCCTGCTCCTCTGCTTCCCTCAGCAGACTTTGTGTATCCAGCTTCATCAGCGCCTGGACCGATCCCTCCTTACCAGGGTAGCCTGCTCCTGTCAGAATAGCTGTTGCCGTGTTCCCAAGAAGACTGAGGTCCAGCGTGGGGGCCGAGCGGATGACAGACGGGCGTTGTTGGGACGAGTTGCTTTCCGGAGAGCTGGCTCCGCCTCCATTAGATGAGTGGCCTTCGCTTTTACCGCCAACCTTGCGGGAGATGGTGAATTTGGTGGGATCTTTGCCGTCCTTGCGGAGCAGGTCAGGGAGGAGGCGGCGACGTGCATTGATGAACCAGTTACATATCTGGGGAAAAGAGGGGGAATTTCTGGCATAAACAGAACTGATACCGTGTACATGGATGTGAAAAGTTGCTCGCACAGTTTTCAGATTCATTTTTAGCTTCGACGCAACACTCACATTGGCCGGATCCATAACTCAAAGTCGGCACTGAAAACAATCTGCCTTTTAATAACCACCTACACATTTCCCTTCATCTACATCTGTGCATCAGGCCTTACTTACTCCCTCTAGTGGTACAGCTTCCCACACAAGAAAAGAGTGAGACGCAGAGATGAGAACCCTCAGACAGCTGGCAATAATGAAGGTCTGAGCTCAAATATGCTGAGCCACAGAGAAGCCAGCCAAAGGCATTCCAGCGAACTGACTACATAACAAGAAACTCTGCTGCCGCCTCATGCTGATCTGTAATGCCTTCTCTAACGCAGCCTGTCTGTGCGTGCCAGTGTGGAGAGGGGAAGAGGAAATGTCTACTACTGATGCAATGCTGGGAAAGAGTCATTCTCAGCAGCACAATGTGGCGATACCATCTGATAATTCTTCAGCTTTCACTTCTTCAGTTGGTGAAAAGTTTTAATTAAAATTAGTAGCGCTGCTATGTAAACTTAACACCTATCTCGTGCGTAGCATCAGACTTCACAGTGATAAAAGGTGACCAACTAGTCTGATGTGCAGGTTATGGACAACTATTTGTGCCACAAGAATAATAAACTTATTTATAAAACCTATATATAAGAAGGTCTGGAAGTATAATGCATCATAAACAAATGATACGACCGTGTTGACAAAATCTTTTTTTGTCAAACTAGATTGCAAATTGCTAACACCCACACCACAGTGCAGACACAGTTTGTACCACAAGTGTCATTTCCTCTGGTAAGTACACAGTGCTTCTGGGAAAACAAAAAATAAATCAACTCAATTCTGCTCCTCACCTGCAGCACTGAGAGGTTGGTCTGGCCTGACAGACTGAGTTTCTCCTGCTCTGACGGGTAGGCGTTGAAGCGGTGCTCGTACAGCCAGCTCCGCAGGATCTGCACCGCCTCCTTCGGCAGGTTGCCGCGGCGACGGCGCTTCCCAAAGAGCCCTCTTCCTGACAGGTCGAGTGGGGAGCCGTCATCACTGTCCGACACAGCCGAGGAGTGCTCCTGCTCCGGGCGATGCTCGTCTTCCAGAGCTGAGGGAGGGGAGGAGAGGCATGAGCTGACCGTGACTGCTCAAAGAGTATTTACCAAACCCGTTTACACCAAATGACCAAATGCACCACTCTTTTGGTATAAAGAGGCAGTGCTCAGTTCGTCCCTGTGTGAGGAGGCACAAAATTAAACTTTCACGCCCAAAACGAATCCTTAATGGCAATTTTCTAGGTGCCATGTGAGCAGAGTGGTCCCAAAATTATAGATTTTTATTTTTAAAACATCTAAATAAAAAAAAGAAATGTTCTGCACTGATTTAGCCCAACAAGTGAACCCCATCAGTTATGTTTAACCAATTTAAAGTGAGACAGCTTCAGTGGGCTGCACTGGCTTTGTGGTGTGAACTTTGTTGTGGGGTTTTTTGTCAGTCTATGGTTGGCCACTGGAGGGAATCTCCCCTCAAAATGGAGCATGCCTGATCCAGGGGTGGGCCACAGAATGCAGTAAATGTCTTTCTCTGGGGCTGGGTGAAACCTGACCCCCGGGGCAGCGCCTGTCTTCACAAAGAAGATTGTGTGCATATCAACATCACAGTAGCTAGTGGCCCAGGAACCTATTGACCATGCAAAGGAGGGCCGTTTTCACCTCATGCCATTATGGCTCAAGACTGCTGGAGCAGTTGACAAACCTTTTGAATTCTGCATTCCTCGACAATGAGGGAGTCTTAAACCAAGTTAAAAAAGTGTGTGTGTGTGTGT